TTTTGGGGAGGATTGGAACACCTGAATCACTTGATTTGGGGGGCGTGTCAGCAGGTTAATGGGGACTCTGAGAATGCCCAGAATTTTGTCCCTGAATTTTATTCGACTTGAAGTAATGAAATTCGAGGCTCTCAGTAAGCATAGCTTTTAGTCGATCAGTAGGCTCCTAGGAGTCAGCAGTTATAGGGACTCAGGGGGGTGGGGTTCCTCAATCCCCACATCTCTGCAGGAGGAGGCTGTGTTCCAGAGGCTTGAACATGGATAGTTGTGCCTAGAGAACTGAAAGCCTTTGCTGTGTTTACGATGGCTCTCCCAACCCCCCACCCAATCCTTCAAGTCAACACCAGGACACTGCAGAACTAAAAAGCACTGCGGATATCTCCGGATACATTCTTACTGAATCTTGGGAGTTCCCTGCTAACCTTTCTAATCTTTTTCTGCAACAACCAAGACTCTGTGATATTGGACCCAAAATGGCGCCCCAACTTTGGAAAAAAACCGGCCAGCCAAAATGATTTACTTCTGTTATCAAGAAGAAAGAAGACGTGAAGAACTGGGCAGAGCTGGCCATGGCCAGCAGTGGCCACAATTGGGGTTTTTTTCCCCCCAATATTAATAGTGACCACATCACTGTGTCTCAGGCGGCCAAAAACAAATTCTGTGTTCCTTCTTCTGGGACCTATAGACGTGTTTCTGAGGCTGAGAGCCTCTCATTTTGCCATATTTTCTGCTTACCTGAATTTTGATTGAAGTAAATTCTGGTATCATGGTGGGTAGTCAACCACTCAAGAGGGAGAAGAAGGAATCGTAAAATAGGAACATAGGCAGCAATTTCGTAGGATAAAGTGTCAATAGTCCGACCTCGTGGAAAGAAAGTAAGGTGGGGGGGGTAGAGCGAGTAGGAGAAGGGGAAAAAGGGAATGGGGGAGGGCAAAGGAAGGGAGTAGGTAGAGTTCCCCCGAATAACTTCATACTTTTGTATTGTCGGCAAACAGCTGAATATCCCTGTCTGGTAGGGCAAGAGACCTTATTTTGTGCCCACTGTAGGTCTTGTCTTTCCTCCAGCCGGTGGTAGCAGAGGCAGCAGACCGATGAGCTCCTTGCTAGCTGATTGGCTCCTGGTGCTGCTCCTCCCTCTCCCGGTCTTTGCTCTGATGTACGGAGATTGCAATAGGCCGATGCCAAGTCAACAACCACTCATATCAAGCAATTGGGTCATTATCCAAGATGGCAATCAGCTTCAGAAGGACCGGCGAGGTCCCGATCTGAGCTCTGATGTACGGAGATTGCAATAGGCCGATGCCAAGTCAACAACCACTGAAGTCAAGCAATTGGGTCATAATTAGAGATGAGCGAATCGAACCAGGCGAACCAGAATTCGATACGAATTTCAGGAAAAATTTGATTTTTCGAATTCGGATTTTTCCGATCAGCCGGCAAAAGTGTCCCTGCAGAGAGCTCCGCTATTTCTGACAGTTCTCTGACAGAAGGAACACATGTACAGCGGTTGAAACATTGTATCTATTTGTTTCCATTTAGGATACAGATATTTTTATTCGGAAATAAATAGATACAATGTTTCAACCGCTGTACATGTGAAGGAACTGTCAGAGAACTGTCAGAAATAGAGGAGCTCTGCAGATACACTTTTTGCCGGTTTGGAATTCTTATTTTCATCCTACTTCTTCTTTTTCTTCTTCTTCATCCTCATCCTCATCCTCAGAAGAAGAAGAAGAGGATGAGGATGAGGATGAAGAAGAAGAAGAAGAAGAAGTAGGATGAAAATAAGAATAATTCCAAGCCGGCAAAAAGTGTATCTGCAGAGCTCCGCTAAGTGTATCTGCAGAGCTCCGCTATTTCTGACAGTTCTGTGACATTCACTCCATACAGCGGTTGAAACATTGTATCTATTTGTTTCCATTTATGGAAACAAATAGACACAATGTTTCAACCGCTGTATGGAGTGAATGTCACAGAACTGTCAGAAATAGAGCCTAAGAAATAGCGGAGCTCTGCAGATACACTTTTTGCCGGCTTGGAATTCTCCTTCTTCTCATCCTTCTTCTTCTTCTCATCCTTCTTCTTCTTCTCATCCTTCTCCTTCTTCTCATCCTTCTCCTTTTTCTCATCCTTCTTGTTCTTCTCATCCTTCTCCTTCTTCTCATCCTTCTTCTTCTCATCCTTCTCCTTCTTCTCATCCTTCTCCTTCTCATCCTTCTTCTCATCCTTCTTCTCATCCTTCTCCTTCTTCTCATCCTTCTCCTTCTTCTCATCCTTCTCTTCTGCTTCTTCTCATCCTTCTCCTTCTTCTCATCCTTCTCCTTCTCCTTCTTCTCATCCTTCTCCTTCTCCTTCTTCTCATCCTTCTCCTTCTCCTTCTTCTCATCCTTCTCCTTCTTCTCATCCTTCTCCTTCTCCTTCTTCTCATCCTTCTCCTTCTTCTCATCCTTCTTCTCATCCTTCTCCTTCTTCTCATCCTTCTTCTCATCCTTCTCCTTCTTCTCATCCTTCTCCTTCTTCTCATCCTTCTCCTTCTTCTCATCCTTCTTCTCATCCTTCTCCTTCTTCTCATGATCCTTCTTCTCATCCTTCTCCTTCTTCTCATCCTTCTCCTTCTCCTTCTTCTCATCCTTCTCCTTCTCCTTCTTCTCATCCTTCTCCTTCTTCTCATCCTTCTCCTTCTTCTCATCCTTCTCATTCTCCTTCTTCTCATCCTTCTCCTTCTTCTCATCCTTCTTGTTCTTCTCATCCTTCTCCTTCTTCTCATCCTTCTTCTTCTCATCCTTCTCCTTCTTCTCATCCTTCTCCTTCTTTCATCCTTCTTCTCATCCTTCTTCTCATCCTTCTCCTTCTTCTCATCCTTCTCCTTCTTCTCATCCTTCTCCTTCTGCTTCTTCTCATCCTTCTCCTTCTTCTCATCCTTCTCCTTCTCCTTCTTCTCATCCTTCTCCTTCTCCTTCTTCTCATCCTTCTCCTTCTCCTTTTCTTCATCCTTCTCCTTCTTCTCATCCTTCTCCTTCTCCTTCTTCTCATCCTTCTCCTTCTTCTCATCCTTCTTCTCATCCTTCTCCTTCTTCTCATCCTTCTTCTCATCCTTCTCCTTCTTCTCATCCTTCTCCTTCTTCTCATCCTTCTTCTCATCCTTCTCCTTCTTCTCATCCTTCTTCTCATCCTTCTCCTTCTTCTCATCCTTCTTCTCATCCTTCTCCTTCTTCTCATCCTTCTCCTTCTCCTTCTTCTCATCCTTTTCTCCTTCTTCTCATCCTTCTCCTTCTTCTCATCCTTCTCCTTCTTCTCATCCTTCTCATTCTCCTTCTTCTCATCCTTCTCCTTCTTCTCATCCTTCTCCTTTCTCCTTCTTCTCATCCTTCTCCTTCTTCTCATCCTTCTCCTTCTCCTTCTTCTCATCCTTCTCCTTCTCCATCTTCTCATCCTTCTCCTTCTCCCTTCTTCTCATCTTCTCCTTCTTCTCATCCTTCTCCTTCTCCTTCTTCTCATCCTTCTCCTTCTCCTTCTTCTCATCCTTCTCCTTCTCCTTCTTCTCATCCTTCTCCTTCTCCTTCCTCATCTCCAAGGGCATTTAAATTAAAGGTACAGTGTTCTGCACTAATTTAAAGGCTCTCTGAAGCCTAGAAACCCTTTTATAAGTTAACTTTGTAGCGAATAAATTCGCATCGAATCGAATTTCTTCCTGAAATTCGGCGAATCAGCCAAATTGAATTTTTGAATAATTCGCTCATCTCTAGTCATAATCCAAGATGGCAATCAGGTTCAGAAGGACCGGCAAGTCCCGATCTGAGCTCTGATGTACGGAGATTGCAATAGGCCAATGCCAAGTCAACGACCACTCATATCAAGCAATTGGGTCATTATCCAAGATGGCAATCAGGTTCAGAAGGACTGGTGAGGTCTAGATCTGAGCTCTGATGTACGGAGATTGCAATAGGCCGATACCAAGTCAACAACCACTCATATCAAGCAATTGGGTCATTATCCAAGATGGCAATCAGGTTCAGAAGGACTGGCGTGGTCCCGATCTGAGCTCTGATGTATGGAGATTGCAATAGGCCGATACCAAGTCAACAACCACTCATGTCAAGCAATTGGGTCATAATCCAAGATGGCAATCAGGTTCAGAAGGACCGGCGAGGAGGAATCTGGTTGCCATTGACTAAATTTCCTTAGGAGTCCCCACCGTCCCAATCATGTCGCCATTATGAAAGCAGCTGAAGAACTCCTTACAATGTAATGAAATGTGACTCCGTGGACTGGAGGTGTCTTTTTTTGGCTCGTCCCATCACCGGGCCCACACAAAGTCAGAGGATTCCTCACTAGCCTGTAAACTTATGTTTCCTGGGGATGTATCACTTATCGCCCTCTCCGCACGGGACTCGGGCGTGGTGCTTCACAAGGAGCATTTGGGCGCTGTAATGGCCCAATGAGACACAGTATGCGAGGGGGCCGAGAATTCTTTATGGCATAACACAACAGTGCATCATGTTCCCATTAAAACCTGAATCTCCTCCAACGTTTTCCACCGAACCTCACCGAGCAAATATTTTTTTCGTCCATTCTGAGTTTATTGAGCTTATGGGTTCAAAGGATACAGAACATAAAAAAGAAGAGAAGGGAATGTAGGAGTTGTATCGTGTAAGAATCAAATATCAGCGAAGAGAACATGACATGGGGCTCAAGTCCAAAACATAACTAAAATGGGCTTGTTAGATATTCATTGTATTTTATTTAAGTTTTATAAAGTAAGGGGCAGTCTTCCACCCACTGACCACCAATGTAAGGGACATTCTTCCCAGTGACCACCAATGTAAGAGGATGTCTTCTTCCCACTGACCACCAATGTAAGAGGATGTCTTCTTCCCACTGACCACCAATGTAAGGAACATTCTTCCCACTGACCACCAATGTAAGGAGCATTCATCCACTGACCCCCAATGTAAGGGACATTCTTCCCAGTGACCACCAATGTAAGGGACATTCTTCCCAGTGACCACCAATGTAAGAGGATGTCTTCTTCCCACTGACCACCAATGTAAGAGGATGTCTTCTTCCTACTGACCACCAATGTAAGGAGCATTCATCCCACTGACCTCCAATGTAAGGGACATTCTTCCACTGATCACCAATGTAAGGAGCATTCTTCCCACTGACCACCAATGTAAGGGACATTCTTCCCACTGACTACCAATGTAAGGGACATTCTTCCCACTGACCACCAATGTAAGGAGCATTCTTCCCACTGACCACCAATGTAAGGGACATTCTTCCCACTGACCACCAATGTAAGGAGCATTCTTTCCACTGATTACCAATGTAAGAGGATGTCTTCTTCCCACTGACCACCAATGTAAGGAACATTCTTCCCACTGATCACCAATGTAAGGGACATTCTTCCCACTGACCCCCAATGTAAGGGGCATTCTTCCCACTGACCACCAATGTAAGGGGCATTCTTCCCACTGATCATCAATGTAAGGAACATTCTTCCACTGACCCCCAATGTAAGGGACATTCTTCCCACTGACCACCAATGTAAGGGACATTCTTCCCACTGATCACCAATGTAAGGGACATTCTTCCCACTGACCCCCAATGTAAGGGACATTCTTCCCACTGACCCCAATGTAAGGGACATTCTTCCCACTGACCCCCAATGTAAGGGTCATTCTTCCCACTGACCCCCAATG